AAAAAATATACATAAATAAAAAAATATATATATCAAGCAGGGGAAAAAGTACGAAATAAAAAAATTGTAATATATATATATAGGTATTTTTATATATTCATATATTGTTTGCGGGGCTAGGGAGGGTCATTCATTTTAATATGCCAACGCTGGCCATGCATAGCTATGGGCGGGGAGGTTGCAATTGGCCCCCCCACCACGCCCCACACGCCCCAAAACCAGATCCAGTTGGGGTGGCAACCCTAAGCGGCGTCTCTGATTATTTGCATAAATTAATTACAAAAACGTTTCGCCTTCAGCGGTGTCAGAGAGAAGTGTGTGTACACTTTACAAAAATAGCAAACCCAAAAAATAAACCAAATTCTTATGCAAAAATATTTTAAATAAATTCAATTTATGGATATTTATAATTTATATAATTATAAATGGAAGAAAAATTAATTAGCAATTTTTTGCTACCAACCAATATTCTATATTTACACCCATTACATGTCGCAGAATTCGGACTTGAGAATTATTAGACCCTACAATTATATTTGTAAGAATTACCTTATTATTATTGTAAATTTAAAATTGTTTAAACTCTTTAAGCAAAAATCAATTATTAAACTTAATTTAAAGTAATTTTAAAAAATTTCTTCCAAGTGTTTAATGGGGGATCCAATGTGCGTACCGCCAGTGGCGGAGGGTTCGTATATAACCAAAAGGTAGGGGGGCTGCTTCTGCTGCGGTGGTGGCACGCACATGAGGTTCGCCAAGGTAAACTTTTTTAATTATGAAAATTAAGTGCAGCGACGACGGCTGCAGCATAAGAACAGCAAAGAGATGAAGAAACGACACCAATGGGGGCGACAGAGAGTAGGGTAAAGTAGGTGATGTGCATGGTGGGGCGGAATAAGAGGGGGTTTATGCAACCCCCCAACCCCAAGGCAACCTTATGGAGTGTCGCTGGCAAAACAGATGGCTGGCATTAATTGGATCTGCAGATTTTTGCAATAATCCAAAAGTAAAAATGTAACTACAGTGCAGTCTTAATTTTTGATTTTACAACCCCTAGCTTTGCATGTCAATTTAAAATAAAAGGTAAAATGTAAGGAAAAATACAATCTTAATGGTATTTTTAGTTCAGGAAACTCATAAAAAAGAGAGTGTGTTTAAATACTTAAAAAATGTTTAACTATTAATGATAAGAAATAATACAAACTAAAAAAAATTCCACAAAACTAACTTTACTTGAAAAGCTATTAAATATTTTTCATAATATTTTTTTTTAATCACTTTTAACCATATTTATGCTTCATTATAGAAAGGTGATGATTTATGTTTTGTTTTGAGGATTTTGTTATTCCCAGAATGTCATGAAATACAATCCCTGAAACTCTTTTTTTTTTTTTAGCTTGAGTTTTTGGCTTCCAGGAAAACTAATTTCGCAAGAGGGAGAGAACCTGGGGAGCGGGGATACCTAGCCAGTGGTAATTCATTTGGGCCATTACCTGCGCGGATTTAACTGTTTTTCGCTTGACTCCAATGCGGTCTTGGCCACTCCCATTGAATTTTGGCCCAAAAAAAAAATGTAAAAAAAAAACACCTGAGAAAAGCACTTAAAATTCCAAACAAAACCCAAAAAAAACAAAAAAAAATAAGAAAGCAAAAAAATCAACGTCAAACGCTTAACGCATGCACAACAAAAGGAGTCTGGAACTGCCCCCCCTCGAAAAAAAACCTCTGCACCTCTGGTCTCAGAGAATTGGAATCGGATCGCTGGGCAAAAATTGCTTTTTAAAATGCTGTAACTCATTTCGAGTTGTTGTTTCCTTTTTTTTATTATTTTTTGGTGAAGCTAATTAACTGTTAAATGAGCGTTTCTGGCTTAGAGTGAGCGAGTGAGTGTGTGTGGGTGTGGGTGTGGTTGTGAGTGTTACTCACTCGACAGATTCAAGAAATGTTGTTAACTTCAAATTTGATTTACGTCTTGGCCTATCTACATCTCTGTTTTCCCTATTTTCCATCTTATTTACACAGAAAACATTTATTTTGAGATCGTATTAATGAAAAAATTATTTTTATAAAAAATATTATTTATTAAAAAAATTACAATTTAAATTATTTGAAAATTACTATTTCATTTAAATTGCTTAAAATTTTAATTAAAAAATTTAATACTACTTGAAAAAGAAGACAAATATGCAATAAATACATTTTTTTATTTATTATTATTTTTTTCCCCTTTAGGTAAAATTCCTTCATTTTTTCCAGTGTACTCCTGTATCTTTTCCTAGCTTTTTCTGGAGGTTTTCTTCTTTTTTTTTTTTTGAGACACTTTCACTTGCCTTACAAACGAAATTGTATCATTAGTCGTGGACGCATTTCGCCAGCGTTTTGCAAACGGATTTCATTGGGTCTTCTTTTATTTTATCTTTTTTTTTTTGCCAATTGAAGGCGTCTTGGCCTGCACCTAAAGTGCTGTTTGTTGCTGTTGCTGTCTGTCTTGCTGTGAAACCGGAAATTTTTGTCATTAGCTGGGAAATTTTATTTTCGCTTCGTTTCATTTTCGGGGATATTTTTCCGTACGTTTCTTCTTTTTTTTCGTGTCTCTTTTGAGTTTTCACGAACGGTTTTCCTGAGACGGCGACCTTATCCTCTGAGAATTGACGGCCGGAAAGGCAAAAGGATAGTCAGTCGTTGGTTTTTGTAAAAGTATATAGAATTTATATTATAGAGTATAAAGAAAGTTAAAGGTTCTGCTTAAGCTAATCCGAAATTTAATAGAAAACTAATAGAGTTTAGGTATTAAATTAAGTTAAATTAATAGCAATGAAATTAAGCAATAAATATATATATAGATCTAAAGAATCTTTAGAAAATATTATTAATTTTTTTTTGTATTTTCTTAGTATATAATTTCCATAGTAATATTCAAGTTATTTACATTTCTGCTAGCTTATTCGAATATTTGGCCTTTCCCTTATATCATTTTACTTTTTGGCAATATTCAGGCTTTTCGCTTCGTTCTTTACGCTTTTCCTTTTTTTTTTCCAACAATTTTTATCGGGCCATGTGAATTTTCGCTAGTCCTGGGAAATGCCCCAAACCCGAACCCCCGACCCCCCCCTGTACCCAGACTTTTCCTGGCTGTTGCTTTATCATTTTTCTTCGTCTGCTTTTGCCACCCACCTCCCTCCACCTCCCCCTCTTTATTTTTTTGGCCAAGCTTAGTTTTTGGGTTCGAAGGCTACTTGCACTGCCAGCGACATATATTCAACCAAAAAAAAAATAAAAGAAGTATCGAAAAAAAATAGGAGAAAAAAGCGGAAGCAGGGAAAAGGGGGATGGGGAAGAGCCAGGGGGCGGAAGCAATACATTCACATTTTGTATCATTGTGGGAGTGGCTGTGTGTGTGTGTGTGTGTGTGTGTGTGTGGGAGAGAGGACAAATGATAAATGAATTTGTGATAAATGAAGCATGTGGCCAAAAGTTGAAAATACTTTTTACACACAGTTTTGGAATCCGTTTTTGGCAAGGAAAGGGGGGGAATGGGACAACCCACCCATCCTCCGTCGGGGGGCAGGAGTTTCTGCTAAAGATATATCGAATTATGAGGGGCGGGAAAGGCGGTGCCGCTTATTGCCAGTTCAGATATCAACAGAGTCCGACAGTTTTCGGACAAAAGCTCGCTTCATTAACATTGGCTTTTCCTTTCCACCCCCATCCCTGTGCGTGTGTGTGTGTGTGTGTGTGTGTGTGTGTGTGTGTGTGTGTGTGTGTTCACCTGTTTTTTACCCTCACTTCTCCCTTCCCTTATTTTGTTATGCAAACTTTACTGGCATTTTCCAAACTAATGGAGTAGCAGCAGCAGCAGCAGATCTTTAGCTCCTGCAAGTGATGGCAATGATTTGCTGTTCGATTTGTAAGCAAAGTACACTCGAACAAAATACTTGTTTTATGAAGAAAATAAATATAGTGGGAAATAGATTTCTAAATTTATTGAATTACAATAATTATTCTCTACCATGGAATTATAAAAACAATTTACTCTCATCGTAGAAATATATCCCTAAATCACTAGAATTCCCAACTGGTTCTTTCAACGAAAAAAATGTTATCTGTTGTATCTAGGATTTATTTCTATTTAAATCTAAAATTTTGTAAGTCAATTAAAGTAAATAAACTTATAAAATGTTTAAAAATACATTTTTTTACTTTTTTTTTTGTAAATACTTGTAGATTTCATATTTTTCTGTGCACTTCATTCCTCTAGTACCTTCTTCTTTTTCTTTGAGAAAGTAGCCAAACAAGTGAATAAAACGAAGGAGGAGGAGGAGGTGAAGTAGGAGGATACAGAGAAGTAGGAGAAATGGGGAATAAAGGTGTGGGAGTGGGGACCAGAAGTGGAGCGATTACTTTTGAATAGTTTAACAGCTGTTCTCCAAGTGAGTGTGCGGGGGCAGAGAGTGGGAAAAAAAGCTAAAAAAAAAAAGGAGGGAAACTCGGAGGAAAACTCTAGGGGGGGATGCAGTAAAATAAATGGTCAAGTAATTGAGAATCGAGATTGGTGCGGGGATTAAGTTGAAAATGAGTGGCTCTTTTTCACAGTGAAATAATTTTAGTTTGGAGCTTTTACAAAAAATAAAAAAAATGCTTTATCATTGGTATTTATCTTTAAAAATATAAAATAAATTAAATGTTGGGAAAATAGGAAAAATAGTTCTTAAATAGAAAAATATATCGAAATATAAAAATGAAATAAAATAAAATATATAAAAAAAATAAAAAAATATACACAAAATATACAAAAAAAATTTACACAAAACATAAAAATAATATACACAAAATATAAAAAAAATATACACAAAATATAAAAAAAAAATAAAAAAATATACACAAAATATAAAAAAACTTAAAAAAAATATACACAAAATATAAAAAAATATACACAAAATATAAAAAAATATATAAAAATATATAAAAATATACAAAAATAAAGAAAACAAAATAAATACCTTTGCCTGGCATTTGCAACTTCCTTTGATTTTGTTGTTTTTTTAATTTAGCTTGGCGAATTTTGTGACTTGATCCATGAAAGTTTTGAAATATACAACAAAGTCCAAGCCAAGTCCAGTCCCTAGACTCTTTCAGACTCTTTCGTCTAGACAAGGTCTCAAGGTGCCCATTGTTTCGCGTTCTTCTGGTCAGCTAGGAGTGTGTGTGTGTTGCCATGTAAATCAATGCATTATTTTCCCACGTCGTTTTCAACGAAAAAAAAAAGCCAAAAACTCATTTATCAGAGGCGGCATTTCAACAACAAAAGCCAGTCACACCAATAACAATAAAAATAACAACAACAACATCAGCCCACACACACACACAAACAAAAACAGCTAAAATGTAGAAGGTGGGGGGCAAATATCGAACAAGAAATAAGCAGCATCATCATTTATATAGCCCATAACCATTGCCCACCACATAAGTCCGTCTCTATATGCGTGTTTGTGGACTTGAAAAAGCGTATATGCTGATGAATATATAGTGTGAAACCTCAAAAGCATCAAATCGAATTGTATTAAACCGAAAATGTAGCAGGAAAAGGTTTTTAAAAATTCTACTAAATTATATTTTAAAATTCTATAAAAGAAAACTTCAAAAAGTATATAAAAGAGTGCCTTTAAATTAAACAAAACCTTATAATTTCTATAACCAAAACAGTTAGTGAATACAGCCTTCGGTTACACCCTAATTCCAATTCCAATTCCTATTCTTTGATTTCTTTTTTTTTTTTTTTTTGTTTTTATTGGTGGACAACAACGAACGTTTAATTTATGACCAACATTTAATTGCGAAAATGCAGCTTGTTTGTTTTCCGGGTTTTCTAGGGCGTTATCCAACGCATAGACACATACATTTATATTCTCGAATATATATTTCAAATAATGACCACAAAACTGTCATTAGACACGGCGCATAAACAGCAAAAAAAAAAAAAAGAAAAAAAAGCAGTGAGGGCAGAAAATTAAAGTGGATGGCAAACAGAGCGCATCGATGGCATTGAATAATAATATTTCATCGCTTCGGCAACTCCTTGGGATACTTCTTCTATATATCCAAAGTATATACTTCCTTTTAGCCACCTTTTCGTTCTGTTTGTTCATAATTTGTTTGTATGTGGAGTGTTTGTTGTGTGGAGGGTGGGGTTTGTGCATATTCCATTGGGTTTAATTGATTCGAAAAAAAAAAAATGAAGAGAAAAATTCAAATCACGAAAGTGTTAAGAAATCGAGCGAAAGAAGACCAAAGACTCGGGAACCCTTCTTCTATATCCATCTCGTTTCTCCTGCTGCTGCTGTTCAAACAGGTTCTGTCAGCGAACTCTGAAGAATTCTTTTCTTTTTTCGCTGTGCACAGAAAGAAAATTATAGATTTTAAGGATATTTTCAAAAGAAGTCTAGGTAAATCTTTTAAAAGAATTTCTTAAACTTGGAGAAAAATAAGCAGTACATGGCTAGATTGAGTTGGCTGTCAACGCTAATTAAAAACATATATTTTAGCGTAGTATTTTAGATCCATTTTATAATTAAAAGAGAAAAACAAAAGAAAATCTTAAGCTTAGAAAAACAAAAACTTAGCTAGATCGAGTTGGCTGTCAACGCTAATTAAAAACATATATTTTAGCTTAGTTTTTAAGGTTATTTTTAAGAAAACAAGAGAAAAACAAATCTTTATATTTTAGTTTGTTAAGTTTCTCTAAAAATATATATTTCTTAAATTCTTGTATCAAGTTTTACCTAAAATTTCTCTCTGTGCTGGAGTTTCGTGTTTTTTCCCCCCCTATTTTTGAACCTGCGTGCCCAAGAGCCAACATTCCCGCCTCTCTCTCTCACTCTCTGTCTCTGTTTAAAGTGGAAACCTGTTTTCTCAATAATAAAAACTAATTTATTTACTAGTTGTAGGTACAAAGAATAACAACAACAACAACAGCACATATGGCTCACAGGTCCCAAAGAAAACGACTGAGAAATATACATACTCCGAAAACCATGGCGACAAAATACAAAAAAAAAATATCAGGGGAAAAAGGTTCGGGAAGGGGGGAAACTGAAAAAAAAAACTGCGTGTGTGGCTAATCAGAATCAAATTGATTTAAATTTGAATGGTTCGACGGGTAAAGTGCGAGTTTAAAAGGTGGAAAGAGGGTTAATGGACGGGGGGCAGGGACGGTGAGGCTTGAAGTGAGAAAAAAAAGCGATAAGTTCCCCAAGCGGCTCTTCTCTTGTTTGGGTATTTTTTTATCTGTACTTTCTGATTTCGAACCAGTTTCAATTTTAATTTATTTGTTTTCTTATTTGAGAAAGTGTTTGAAGTTGCAGTCGGAATTCTCTTAGATATAAGTTATATTTTTGGTTTTAAAATAAATAGATAAATTATTAAATAATTGATTAAAATTCTCGTTTAATCTTTTATTTTGTTCCTGAAATAATATTTACACAAGAAATATTTTAAAAATATTTTAAACTAGACCCAAAACTCTTCTCCTGGGTTTAATCACAGGTGAACGCTAATTGAGGTGGCAAACATTTGTAGATCGAGGACCCAAAAAAAAAAAGAAGACCCGAAAATGAAAAGCCAACAGAGAGAGAGAGAGAAGGAGACTGGGGAAAACTAAAATTCGAATGGAGTTTTTGGTGGAAAATTTCAAAGAGTGTGTGCAGCTGGCCAATGTTATTGTTGTTGTTGCTTGTTTTTTGGAAAATTGCAGGGGGGGGGGGGTTAGGAAAAGCGGAAAACTGAAACTGAAGCCGAAGCTGATGCTGAAGCTAAACAAAGAACAATACCCGAAATACGAAGAAAGTATCTTAAAGATACCAGTGCGCTGCACAAAAGCCAAACAAAAGCGGCGGAAGTAACGGGAGGGATAAGGTAAAGTATCTACGAGTCGAAAGCGCAAAGTTTTGCGCTCACTTTTGACACAGTAGATGAGAGCCACCAGATACAAGAAGCACACAGCACAAACACAAACACAAACCTACACACACACAGATACAAACAGCCACACAAGCCAAAAGATACAGATACACGGATGAGTCAGGGACTTTGAGGTTGCTTTTCTTTCGGTGGGGTTACCATCAAGGGGGTCCATGGACCCGGACTGTCCTCAGGGGGTTATAAGAGGCACAAACCCAGTTGACAACAACAGGTGGCTCCACTTACCTGTCTGTTTATGTTTTATGCTCTCCCAGTTGTTGTTCTTCGTTCAATTACTCCGGCTTGCCGCTGCTACTGCTACCTTTGTTTTTCCACCTGGTCCAAAGTCCGTAGCTGGACTTTATTATGCCCTGCATCCAACAGATGCGCCGCCCCAAGTTGCCAAAGTTACCCAAAAGTTATGCTGCAAAAAGATCGCAGGCAAAGAAGAGTTAAGAAGGAAGGCAAGGCTTTGGTAAATTTTCGAAATGTAAACAATAATAGCCAAGCAAATTGCTAAACAATATTGCGTATATTGAAGAGAGGTTCGAGAAGTCCCAAGTTTTCACTTACAAATTGAAATTCTTAAGTGATGTAGCCAAGTTTTGAGTTTCCCCTTATTCTTAGTCCGATTTTTAGGCCTTAAAAATATCTGTATAATGTATCTAATAATTTCCATAATTTTATAGACTTCAGCTTATGGTTATTCCCTAGCTTACCACCATATTTTGACAGGCCCATCTCGTTCAACAAATGTGATTCATGCACTTATGAATATTTATTATATTCTTTTCATTTACAAAAAAACCTAACAAAAATTAACACTTTTATATGTGGACAATCCAGTCCGGCCGAACTGTCTGAGTCATGGCATTTGCTAACCACAAGCTGAGATTTATAGATGACAGGAAGATAACTCTTTATCTTTTTTTGCTGCTGCTTTGAAAACCATTTTTAAAGCCTTTTCATTTAGTTTTTTTTCCTCCCTTATATCCCCTGGACCATGACCCCAGCTTGGGATGAGCCTTTCTCTCGGTTCAACCGTTGCAAACTTGCCTCAAGTTCAATTTTCTTTTGTTCTATGAAAAAAAAAAGAAGTGGGGAAAACGAACTAGTAAATAAAGTTGAATGCGGCAGCCGACAAAAAGAAGATCAAACTTTTGCTAGTCTTGGCAGAATTTTGTAGTCATTGGAAAGAAAAATAAATTAAGTGCTAATAAAAAAGGGTTTTTTGGGCAGTCTGAATGAGTTGATACCTTTGGCAAGGGTTCTTGATTTGAATATTTAATTTTTTTTTATTGTATTTGAACTAGTTTTCTTATAAAATATTTGTTTAAACTGCACTAACCTTAAACCTTTCACCCTAGAAATAATTTTTGCTTTCTTAAAATGGTCTTATATCTTGTTATGGCTTTATATTAATATAGATTATAATTTTTTTTTACAATTAAATATTAAGAAATATTTTATATTTATAATTTTTAGTTTATTGTATGACAAAACTCCCCTGTTCTACCCATTGTGGCGTGAATCTCAGGCCGGAAAAGTCGACTGGAAACGGCGTGAGATACTCAATCGAATTAAAATGCATTCGAGTAGCAATGACACTGACACGCCCCATCATTCCGCCCCCTTTTTCCAAGAAGAAAAACAAAATACCAAAAAAAAAATTTATAAAAAAACGAGAAAAATAAGAAAAGAAGCAAAGAAAAGATATAAAAGCTACGAAAACTGTGGCAAAAGTTATTGTAACTTTTGCCCGCTGGCAAGGCAAAGCCAATTGGTGGGGTGAGGTTCTTAGGGATGTGGGTAAGGGGGCTGACATCCGTGAGGGTGGTGGAAAAAAAACTCAGAAGAAGAAAAACTGCTACTGATACCGAAAAACAGAGGCGCCACGCGCCTACTTGCGACGCATTTCCTTCCGTATTCCCGCTGAAAATCCTCAGCTTTTTCTGGTGACCTCAATCTTTAGTTCAATGCGTGACTGAACGGGGGTGAAGAGGGTGGGGGGTGAAGAGGGTGGGGGCGGGGGGGGTCAAGAGAGGCGAAATCTGGCCAACTGTGACTTCCTCTACGGCAGCAGCAGTAATAACAACAACGACAACTTTTTACTGTTTTACACAACCAAATATAAAAAGAATGAACCGAGGGTGGCCAATACCCTATACCTTGGATATGGTTAACAATTATTGTTCTTGGAAAAACTGTATAATTATTTTTTTTTATATAAAAATGTTCCATAATATATAACTTATAACTTATAACAGTTTTATTAATTTTAAAAATATTCAGTAAGTGTATACAAAAGCTCAAAACCAAAGATACCTTAAGAAATGTATATTCCCTTGGTCCTGAAGACCTTGTGGCATGAGGACTTTTCTTCAAAGATGCTTTTTAAATGATTAAACGCTCGCTCCAAATTACCGAATTTCTCTCAAGTCTTTTTGGTCAGGGACAAGTTCTTTTTGGTTTTTTTGTTCTCCGTTTTTTTTTTTATTTCGCTGTGTTTTGGGTTTTTTTCTTTTCTTTTTGCTGAGATTTCATATGGAATGACATTAAGTCGAGCGAAATATCACGCAGCGCCAAGAGCGCCCTTCTCATTAACATTTACCATTTTTGGGGCTAATCGATTTGAGCTCTGATTTGATTTCAGCCTTATATTTTTTTTTTGCATTTTAATTTGAGCTTTATAAAATTATGGAATAATCTTTGGGACAAAACGTTTGGGTTGTTAAAAAGATAAGAAAATGAGATGAAAGATGAAAAGAACAACACAAAACTATAGTTCAAAACGTTTTATTTATTGATTTTGATGAAGTTCTCAAGTATATTTTGAGACTTGCAAGATGTACATTGTGCATTCCCTTTAAAGTTAAGTAAACTTTCCTGAACAATATATATTCTCACGCAGTCAAGTGACAACTTATCTGGGGGTTCTCAGCTTGTCGGCAACATATCAAAATTAAAGAATTATTTCTTCGAAAGATAATTGTGGCTGACATTTGCCTTTTCCCAAAGTATTTCCACCATTCAACGATTCGAGAAAACGTTGCAAACTTGCTGACATGAAGTCATCAACATTGGAGTGTAATCGCCCCTCCGCATTTTTCATTTTCCATTTACCATTTTTTTTTTTTCCTACGCTGAGGAAGGAGTGGAAATTGTTGGCCAGGTCAAGTGGTTGACCGTGAATGGGCAAAAAATCAGTAGAAAAATGTATATAAGAATGGAAAGGAAAACTGTGAACCACTGCGAGACAATTGTCATATGAGCAAGAGCATGACAAAAGTGTTTTTCCCCTCATTCTGTAATTTTTTTTTTTTTTTTTTTTTTTGAAAAGTTTGCCACACACACAAAACAATTTGTCGCTTGTCAGATGGAGGAAAAAATAGAAGCAGGGTAAGGGAGAGGGGGTGTTGGTCACGGGCGTTTAGTCAGAATTTTTTCAAACGTTTATCAGCCCAAAGCAATCAAAGTCAAGTTACTATGGACCCCTTTCCTGGCCCCCTGTAAACCTCCCTCCACAAATTGAAAAATCATTTGGAAATTTAATATCCTCATTCTTTGTTTTTTTTTCTCCCTCAATTAAAAAGACAAACTACCAAGGAAAACTACGAGAAAATACAAAGAACCCAAGAGGCAAGGTGCCTCTCTTCTAGGTAAACTTTTATTTATCGTTCAGAAAAAATGGGAAAAATGGTCTTGGTCAACGGTAACACAATATTTAATCAAATTATAAATAAAAGCGGGTAAACATATACAAAGGAAAACGATATTAATAAACCAATAAGGCGAAGATAAACAATTTATTAAATAAAATACTCATCGATTTCATTGATTGAAGTCAAATTAAAATGAATTAAAGTCTAATATATCAACTTGTGGGGAAGGAATATGTAGGAATATATTAAAACAACTTTAAACACACTCAAAATTCAAATCAAAAGAGACATATTTTTTATTTCAATTTATATTTGACGTCTCATAACGGTTTTCATCTTTATTATCCGTTTATTTTCATTTGTCGCACGCGGCGACTGCAATAAAAGTTGAATACATATAACCTTAAACGGAAGAGATACCACAAGAAAAACAGTACAAAATAATAAAGAAAACAAAATTAAAATAATAATAAACAAGAAGCAAAAAGGAAACCCAAAGATTCAATGTAGAAAACTTGAAATTGAAATTAATTCATAATTACAAGATCTGTTGAAATCTTGGGTAGAAAACCCCAAAGTTCCAAAGTTCGCTGGAAACATTTATATAGTTGACTTTAATCTCTGACTCTCACCTTCGGGTTTCCAAGTATTATCTATCATCTCTGTCCTATATCTTACTCCCAGACTTCTTTTCGATTTCCTCTGCGTTTGTAGCCAACATTGTTCTCAGCGACATTTTACCATCCATTCCAACATCATTTGACTCTTTTATATAGTTTTTCTTTCCTTTCGGTTATTCCATGTCTGATTCTGTCTTTTGTTTTTTATAGCCTGTCGTCTGGGTTCACATCATAGTTCTCCAGGCCTTCTTTTCCTTCTTAATTTCATATTACAGTTAATGGCGTTGTTAACTAACTTTTTGTGGCTTTTGCCTGATTTATTTGAGCATCTTAAACAATTTAGTATGCATTATTTGAGTTACATTCCAGAGTTTACTTCTAAATTCTTTTTCGTAGCTAAAAAATTATAGTTCTTGTACAAATAATCAAAAGTTAAATATACATATCTTTTGTATTTTTAACGATAATAATATTAAAAGCAATTCTAAATTATTCATTGTATTAAAATTATTATAGAATCTCTTTAATTAGTCTTGGATAACTAGGAACTATCCTTGTTCTGCGGCTTAGTATGTTTTATGTACTTTAAACTTTGATATTCTCTGGGGAACATATTGATCTGCCGGCTGAATTAGACCGCAAAAATTTGCAAATTTTTATTTAGATTCCACTTAATTGACATTCAAATTGCCTGTGGCTCATTAACCGCCCTGCCTCGCCCCTCTTTGAATGCTGCTGCTAGTCCCTGTCGACTCTTGTGCAATGCAACACATTGCCAGGCACTTAACAATGTCAGTTCTCCCCCGGTTTTCCCCGATTTTTCCCTCTTTATTTCTCCGCTGCCCCAACTCGCAGGCAGGCAGGCCATTTAAATGTCATGCACTTGGCGCGTTAGAAACTAAAAACTAAAAACTGAAACCAACGAAACTACGGTGTCCGGAGTTGCCGAAAATCGAATTTTCTGTAACTGGAAATGGCGTTTACAATTTGATATAATTACATCATTTTTGGAGGAAAATTTGTGCTTCTGATGGTTCTAAAATGTTATATAAACTCTACTTGACGGTGGATTCCCTAGTTTTAATCAAACATATTTAGTCCACTCTGCGGTTTCTATGCGTAAATAAAGCATAATTATGTTGTGCACTTTAAACTCATCAAACTAACCAAATTTTACCTCACAAGTGATATTCGTAGTTTAAGAATAATAATTTTATATTATTTAGATATTAAAATTGTATATTATGTTACTTTTAAACCAAATAAAACTAAAGTTCAACACATAAAAAGTTCGCATCGACTTCTTTAAGTTTTCGTGTAGTTCGAGGCAATAAACTTTTAATATTTAATCTTTGAAACTACATTTTTAAAACATTTACCAGTCTAGATATTAACACTGTTTTCAGTTTTATTACTTAAATTTTAATACAAGAACAAAACGAATGTCTCAAAGATACAATTATTATCAAAATGTAAACTTCACTTTTTATAAAAAACACAACATTTTAATTAAAACATTTAATGCTTCGGATATTTATAATAAAAATTACATTAGCTTGGTTTTTTCAGCATTATTGTTAAAACTTTTCCTTTATACTCAATTTTCAATAGTTTTAGTAAGTTTTTCGTCAAAATTATAAATTATTTAAGGCCCGAATTTTAAATTAATTCAAGATCACATTTCAAGTTTTAAAAATTAATTCCCTTCAATAGTTTTCGAGTTTAAAAAGAAAACTGTTGCAAGGGTGCGAGCGGGAGAGGTATGCTTAATTACAAAATAGGGTTTTGCTTGTGAAAAAAACCACAAAAGAGGCAGCAAATATTGTAATGAGAAATGCATAATAAAGAGAGGGACCAAAGGAGAAAGAGAGCGAGCGCGAGAGAGAGAGAGAGAGAGAAGAAAAGGCTGATCCCAACACACACACAAGCACAAACACAGATGCAGACACAGGTAGGCGAGATCTCGCTCGTTCTCCCTCTCTGTCTCTCTAGTTCGCTGCCCCTCTTGCCATCTCCCTTGCGCAAAATGCAAGTGAATGGTGCAGCATGCCACAAAAACAACACTGCGACGAGGCCTTTACTGTATATTCTCCTCGTCCGCTTCATTCTATTCCTTACTTCACTTCACTTTTCCTTACCTTTTTTTCCTCCTCGCTTTTTGCGCTTTCTCGTATTTTGTGTTCGGCAGGAATTTTTTCGGTAAACTTTGCAACTTTTGTTTTGTTTCTCGTATTTCTCACTTTACTTTCCTCGGTTTTGGCACTGACTCTTAATTCGTAGCTTTGATTCTTCGCTTTGCCTTTATTCTTGTGCACTGGCTCACTTTTTTCTCGGCGAATTTCCCTCGTTTTGGGCACAGGAAAAAAAATGCAGCGATCGGGAGGCTTTGTTCCCGCAGAAAATGGTTTATCCTTCCAATCGAAGCCAACAAAAAAAAGTAATAAACGAAACGGGGCAACAACAAACGGGGAGAACCAAAGACGCAAACGGAAGAAACACAAGCCAAATTCGGACGATGTAGCAAGCGATTCTCGATTTTATTTACTTCCTTCTCCTCTTTCCTTTATTTTTATTACTCTTCCTATTTGTATTATTTTTGTGTTGGATTTTTGGGAAAATGCAGGCGCAGCAATTGCAAGAAGTGCGGGAACCGGTTTTTTACAATTTCTCCTTTGGCCACACACGCTCACACACGCGCCCGTTGACGAAAAACATCCGTAAAACACCGTTTCCAAGGTCCGTCCGCAAACACCGATCGAAATGACTGTTTTTAAAACATCGATTTTCACTATTTTTCCATCCGACCGGCCCGAAATTTCAACAAAAATTTCCGAATTTTTGCCGTAAACACCGTTTCCTAAAATATCCAGGTCCGTCCGCAAACACCGAAATGCTGTTTCAAAACATCGATGTGTGTTTTTGCTATTTTTCCATTTTCATCCGACCGGCCCGAAATGTTTTCGACAAAATGGTTGCTTGCACTTGTATTTATACCTTCTTGCGCAGTCCGACAGTGATGTCACATTTTCGAGCCAGAAAGCGGGACTGCCAAAATAAATACTTTTGTTTATTTTTTATCGAAAACCTTGAACAAACGGTTCCCAATTTAGCGATATATTTTTTTATATATTATTTATATTTTCAAAAAGATTCGTAAGTTTTTCTAGACGCACTGTAAATTTAAATATAAATTTTTTTAAATTCTTTACCTCTTCTTCTATTTTGGGAAAATCGGCAATGAAATACCAGTTAATTTAATTTTAAAAAATTAACTTTAATTTTCTTTAAATTCTTAAATTTTTTTTATATTTTTTAGTTTCTATTTACAATTAGTATTTATATAATTAATAAACAGAATTTACTCAAAAAACCGAAGGAATCGATCTCTCTCACTCCCTGGGCTGCTCTCAGCTCTAAAAAAGCTAGAATTTGCCTGATGGGAAAAAAGCGGGAATGACACCGCTGCAGACCGAGCCGAGCCGAAGGCCGCCGAATGGGCTCGAACACGTTGCGTGCACATGGAACATGTTTGAATGGAACAATTCAATTCGACGGCTTCAAACAATGTCCAACAGCGAACGGAGTTCGAGTTCGAGTTGCAAATGGGTTCGAACTTGGATGGTAATTTATCTTACATTTTGGGATTATATTTGGGGTTTTTAATTTAAAAAATATATATAATTGATTTTATTTGAATTTTAATGTATTACATTTTATTTATAATTTTAGGGAATTATTAGGAGACTTAAAAAACATAAAAAGGTGGTTACAAAATGCAAAGATTTAAAATAATTTGTAGTGTTTTTTTTTTTTTATTAAATTAAAATAATTATAATAATTATAAATATAATAAAATTATAATTATTATAAAAATATAACCCACACTCATACAATTTTTTTTTAGAATTGAGAAAAATTAAATTATTTTTAGGGTAAGCAAAGGAAATTGTAATTTTATTTTGGAAACTTTTTCTTAGTTTTAAGACGTTTATTCTTAAATCTAAAAAAAATATTTTTATGATTGAATTTTAATAATCCATATTTTTTTAATCCATGTAATGAAATTTATATTATATATCAGAAATTATCAGAAATTGTGAAATTTTTTATCTTTTCTTTCATTAAAATTATAGATCTATAGATCTCCCACGAAAATAAATAAAAAATCTTTTATCAAATTCAATAAAAACAACAAAAATCAATTCTGCTTGACCAAAAGTCGGAAAATTCTCTGCTCTGGCATTCAGACATTTCGTATCGGGTTTTCTGCTTTTATTTTGCTTGCTTTGGCAGGAGTTGACGACGGCTGTGGACCGGTTCAACAGGATGCAGGAGAGCCAGAGATAGAAGTGCTACCAAAACAAAGCAAAATAAAGGAAAAATAAAAGCAAAGACTGGAAGCTGGAAAAGAAGGAGTTGCCTCCGCGAAGGAGTTGCTCTTTTCGGTCTCTTCGCCTTTTGGCAAAGAGCAAGAGAGAAGGAGAAAAAGCAAAAGCAAAAGCAAAGTCAAAACATAAAAAGCAAACTACAAAAAGCAAAGCCAAAACCAACCTGACAACAATTTCAGGCACCGCTCTTTCTTGCTCGTAAATGTAACTAAAATGGCAAGCGGCGAGCGGCAACAATAATAAACCGGTTGAGGTTCGTGCGCCCAAGGAATGCACAAAAAAGCAAAAAATTTAACATCAACAACAACAAAAGCAGCAACAACAAGAGCAGCACTAACAAAAGCAGCAACAACAAAAGCAGCAACAGAAACAGCAGCAAAATGCAATGCGGGAAAAAATAGCAAGAGGCTCACAAGGCATTGGACTGCAGAAGTACAGGTAGGCCTTTTGGGTCCTTTAAATTTGTAAACTAAATAAAAATTATTACCATTATTTTTAACATTTTATGTACATTGTATTTCCATGTTAAGGCTATCTATATTTTATAATTAATAACATTTTATTTATTTAAAAATTATTTCTGTCAATCAACAGCTGATTTGTAACTTAGCCTTGCTTCACTGTACTTAAAGCCTGGTCAGTTGGATTGGTTATTCCCCCCGCTCACCTTAGTGGCAAAAAGCACAAGGAAAAACAAAAAGCAAAACCAAAAGGAATGACATAAATCTGCGTGGCAAACAAAAGACTCAAGCAACGAACGTGCCACAAAAGCGTGTTGCAACAAAAGCTGAAGCTGAAGCCTGCAACTGGATTACTGTTACACGAAAACACCACAAGAGCTAGAGAGAGAAAGAGAGAGAGAGAGACAAAAAGAAAAAGAGATAGCTACAGCCAGCGACATGGGGTCAAAATGTTGCGGGTCCGCGAACTTTTGTAGGTGAATTGACTTCTGCTCGAGTCACCCCAAAAATGGTAAATGGGTGGGAAGCAATCAGCGGATGGCAGGAATAAAAAATTAAAATAAAAATAAATAGGAAAATAAATTAACGGAAAAAAAATAAAAAGATACAAAATATAAGAAAAAATAATAAGAAATACATAAAGGAAACCAACAAGAAGAGATCAAAGAAGGAAAACCAAAAGATATAATAGATAGATTAATAACAAAATAATTACTTAAAACTCATTATTTTGATAATTACTTATTAAAGAAAATGTATTTATTTATTTATTAATATTTAAGGTTCTTATAATTTATATGACTATTTATTTAATTAATAAAATATCTCAAAGAAATCAATAAAAAGCTAAAAAATTATTCCATAAACTGAAGGTTCAGAAGAAACTAATAATAAATTTACAAAAAATTTAGAAACTATACAAATTATTTTTAAAATATTTAAAACAATCTTTAACACATTATGTTACTCAATTTAAAAGAATAAATATATAAATATTAATTTTACACAACAAATATTCTTACTTAATTTAATAAATAAAAAATGTATTATATATTTTTCCTATGAATTCAGTTATTTATGAATAATAATTTTAAAAAATTTCAAGTGTTATTAAAATTATATATATATCTTATTTATTTATTTCTAAATTAAGAAATTATATATAAAATACGTGTAGGTCTTAACAATTAATTTTAAATCAAGAATATATACACTTTAAAGGGCTGCGAAAATATTAAAAAATAAATAATAAAAAATAAATATTAAAAAATAAATATTAAATTATAAATAAATAAATATTAAACTGAATTTTTAAACTTTGCTAGATTTACTCCTTGATTAAATATATTTATTAATTTTTCTGAATATCAAAACTTTTAAAAATTACTCAATATTATATAATAATAATTTTTAAAAATTTGCAACTTAAAAAACTTACAAAAATATTAATATTTTACAAAAAAAAAAAACTGTTGGCTAGCCTTATTAAAAACCCAAAAAAAATGGCAACAAGTGACCATTTAAGCCCCCATTTGGTGGCCGAACTCTGAACTTTATTGTCTCTGCCCGGTCGCCAGTTGGTATTTTGGTATCACCCGAGTCTCATTTATTGCGGTTTTGTTGTTTTCCTATTAACTGCGGAGGTTATTTTCTTTTTTTTTTTCTTTTTCCTTTGGCCACTTAGAAGCCGCCAAACAAAACACTCGGCATTTCGGGGCAAAAATTGCTGCGCACCACGAAAAAATATGACCCAAAAAAAAAAAAAAAATAAACAAAATGAAAATGAAAAAACCGCAAAATAAATAAGACGAAAATTATGCAAAGCGCAGACAAATGCGCAAATTTGAAAAATGCCACAGCAACAACAATGGCCAGCAGCTGCTGCTGCGCTTGGGGGCCCCTTTTTAAAAAATCGGAAAAAGAAAAAATAACTAAAAAAAAACTTAAAAAAAGTGCGGGCGCTAAGTAGAAAAGTTTCTTTTAAAGAATTAGTAATACTCTAATTTAGAAAGTTAACTTTTAGATCATTTAAGCTATATTTTAAGTAGAAAAGTGGAAAATACTTTAAAACAAATATATTAAAAATATAGTTTTGTTATACTTTTTTAAATTTATATATTTTTGTTTTTATTTACATTTTTTTAAATTATATTTAAAATATTTATATTTTACATTTTCATTATTTAAAGTAAGTAAACAATGATTATAAAATATTGAGCCTGAAATATTGTTGCCTAAATTGTTGTTTATAATTTATTTATCATATAATTTTTAAAATACCTTAACTTTACTCAATTTTTTAATAAATAAATTATTTTTCTATAGATGCTAAGTAATTTAATGTTTTAAATAAAAGAAATGAAATAAATAAAAGCCAGTTTTTTTATATTACCAATATTAAGTATACGTTTTAACTATATCTTGTTTACTTTTTATCTTTATTATATTATATTTATTATTTAATTATTTAATTTATTTTAATATTTTATTAATGAATTCCCAAGAAAAGTCTACTCTCCACTCGTATTTTCTCTTCAGTGAAAGCTTTTCATTTACCAGGAATAAACCGATTTGATGAACCGACGTGTGAATATGTGTGTTACCCATCCCAAAAAATTCACAAAAAAAATATATATGTGAAAATTTCATAAGAAAATAACAGTTAGAAGCACTCAGTATACACAATATTATACTTTATAAAATAATATAAAAAAATATTTTAATAATAAAAGATCGAGAGATATATCGAGTTTTTTATTTATTTTATTACATTATGTCTTTTATTTATTTATTTTTTTTAATTATTATTTTTTTTTTTTTAATTGTTTATTTATTTATTTATTTATTGATTTATTATTTATTATTATTCCAATAAACATATTTACTATAATTTTCATAAAACACCTTGTGACTTCTGGCATTAGAAAACTATTTTTTTGTTTTCAATAATAATTTTATAAATTATATTTATTTAAATTATGAAGAATAAATACCTATTTTTCATAATTTATATAAATACAATTACCACACCCCTCAGAAAGGGCATACAAAATGAACTTAACTTTAAATTCAATATTTTTCTTGGACTTTTTGGCGGCGCTTGACTTTGCTAATGGGCCTCATTCG